GATATCTCCGACTGACGATGATGGGATTTGTCGCTCTTGTTTATCTGGTGAGCCTGGGATATCTCTGACTGACACAGATGGGACTTGTTGCTCTGGTCTTTCTGGTGAACTGCTGTTATCTCCGACTGACACAGATGGGATTTGTTGCTCAGGTGTATTGGGGTGTTTAACAGGAGCTTGAGTGCCTCTGAGGATCGCTTTCTCTGTTTTAGACTTTTCATCAAGGTTTCTGTGTGCACCTTCCAGTTTGTTTAGAGTTGTTTTCAACATATCTGGACTTCTTTTTAATGTTTCCTGCTCAGATTTTTCTCTGGATATTGTCCCTTCTTCACTTGATGGAACTTCTTCAGACCCAGCAGACACATGGTACCTGTAGTGACTCTGAACAGCCTCATCCTCTGGATGAATATGAGTATCAACCTTCTCTTTGTTTTCAGGCACTCCTTCACTCTGAGTTCTTGTCTGAGTCAGATCTTCTCCTGGTCCTTCATGCTCCACATGGATTTTCTCCACCCCAGCAGGGCTTTCTTCCAAGTGAACAGAACTATATTCTCCATGTTTCATTACAGGATGTTCTTCATGCAGTTCAAATCTTTCTTGTTCGGTCTCTGAGACCACAGTCTTGGTTCCACCTGGACTTGCATCCCGCTTATTCAAGCTTATTTCTATAACTTTAGCCTGGTGTGGTTGTATCGATTCATAAACAGCAGAGGAGAGTTGTTGCGTCTCTGGTGCAGATATCTCTGAGATAACATCAGCTGTAGTTTTTTCATTAAAGCTTGTTGTTGAACTGCTGATAACACAAGTTACAGCAGAATGTTCATCTGACCTAATGTGTTCGCAGACTGCGTTAGGCTCGATGTCAGCCTCAGTTTTGTTGAAGCTTATTGGATCTTGTTCATATAAGCTTATTTCTATAAATTCTGTCTTGTCTTGTGACAGTGCTTTAGAAGAAGGCAAGTTGAGCTGGACAGAGTCTGTCTGAGGTAGGTCATCTTGAAGAACATAGGTGGTTTGTTGGATGTTTCCAATCTGGATCACAGTTTCCATCTTTGGCTCATCCCCTGCAGAAGACGTGTCATCGTTCTCCTGTGGACTGGTATTGGTAGTTATATCAAGCTGTAGGATGCATACTTTGGGCTCTTTCTGAATAAATCCTTCATTCTGACTCACTTGAAAATATCTTGAAGCCTTGTCCTCCTGAACATCACTTTCTCTGACTTCTTTAGGTTTTTCCTGTGGTGGTTCTTGTTCAGACACCTTTTGCTGGCTCGTGGTTTCACTTGGGGTAACCTTTTCATCTTCAGATGAATTCTTTTCTATCTTTTCCTCATGGGACCAGACAGTAGATGTAGTGGAGTCACTTGCGACCACAGTTTTTTGGTCTGGTTCATCTGACATTGCCTCACAGGTCTGGAGGATCTGTATATCTGACACATTAAGGAGCAAATATCTCGTCTCCTTCTCTTCAGTGTTTGTCCATAACTTGTCAATGTAATCTGCTAAATTTGGAGTATCTGTAGAATCATCCAATTGAAGCTGTATTGGAGCATCTGCTCCAAAGCACGTTTCTGAAGACTGGACAGAGGTTTGGCCTTTTAAATTATCCTCAGGTATCTGATGGCCTGTGGCTGCAGTTTGAGGTGGTATTATTGAGACAGGTAGAACGTCTGACTCAAGTTCTTCTGTATGAGAAGAATGAGAAGTTAGAGTGCAACTTTGGACATCAAAGTGATGAGCAACATGTTCACGCACTTCACTTGTATCCAGACTGACTGTGACCACTTTCTTTTCTTGGAGATCCTGGCTTTCAACAACCTGACTTTGAGTCTTCACAACTACTGAACTAATGTCCTTCACACCTGTTCGAGTCGTCACGCATGCAGAGATTTCATGGAGGACCTCTGAAGCAGTGACAGGTTTCTCATGGTCACCTTCTTCCTTCAAACGTTTGATCTCAGCATTGGTGTCTCTTCTGTTGGTCTCTGTAGATTCAGAGGACTCAGCATTGTTCAGGTCTTTTCCACTCCGTACAACCTCAGTTATGTCTAAACCTAAACCTTTTGTTTGATCTTTGGCAGGCAGAAATGAACTCTCACACTTAATGTCAACAAGTTCCAGGAAATGTTTGGGACTTTCTGATATACTTTTAATTTGAGAAAGCTCAACTGATTCAACAACACTTTCAGTTTGTCCTTGGACATCCTCTCCTTTTAAAGCTGGTTCTTTTCCAGTTTCTTCAGACTCTATGAGATTCGTTGACTCCCTGCTGGCTGGCATTGGTTCAGTTTTTCCAGAAACAGTAACTGTTGTTTGATTTGTTGACATAATCATTTCAGATTTAGCCTTGGGTTCAAACAAAAGCACAGCATCGTTGTCTGTGGAACGCTTCAGATTTTCTGACCGTTTGTCGCTTGGTGAAAGCTCTATTTTTTCCAAGACAGAAGTTTCAGTTATTGTTGGGATAATTTGTGGAGCAGCAGGAAGTGTCTGGTCATCAAAGCTTTTTAAGACAGTTTCCATTGCCAGGTCATCTGGAGTTACTGGACCTCCAGGCTTTTCCATGACCCGTATTTCCTCCTCATATAGCAGGTCAGGGGAAGTCATCAGACTCTCTGATGTATTAAGCAATAACTTATTTTCTTCCTGAACAGTAATTACTGTGCCTGATGGTTCAGTTGGAGTAACTCTTGCCCATTCAAGCTCTTTATTAATTTTTATAGAGTCCACATCATCAGACCCAGCAGAGATAGTATCTGGCTTTAAAGCTGTAGAAACATCAGCACTTTTTGTTTCTGACAGAACAGCAGTTTCAGTTTCCTCTGCAGACAGAGGTCCAATATGTTCTTTGTTTGTTGGCATCTTATTCTTGTCAACATGTTGCAGGGGAACTTTTGGACTTTCTGGCATTCCTTTGGTTTGGGAAAGCTCAACTGGTTCAATTACACTTTCTGTTTGTCCTTTGACTTCCTCTGTTTTTAAAGCTGTTTTTTGCTCAGATTCTTCAGACACAACTTTTTCCAAGAGCAATATTTCAGTTGTTTTTGAGCCAACCTTTGGAACTGCAGGAAGCGCCTGACCATCAGAACCCGTCAGAGCTAATTTCATTGCAACAGTACCTTCAGTTATAGGATCTCCAGGTTTTCCCATGACTTGCATTTCCTCTTTGTTAGAAAGTTCAGGGGGAGTCATAATGGTCTCGGACATCCATGTGACTGACAAGAGCTTATCTTCTTTCTGAACAGGAGTTGCCGTATCTGATGGCTCATTGGAAGAAATTCTTACAATGTCAAGTTCTTTTATAGTTTCCTGAGAGTCCAGATCTTCAGATCCAGCAGTGACAGTATCTGACTTTAATGTCACTGGTGCATCGCTACTTCTTGACTTTCTCTTAGCTGGTACAATTTTTGTTTCTATAAAAGGAGCTGTTTCTGGTTCCTCTGTAGATGCCAGTTCTCCAGGTTCTAATATTTCTTCTGTCACTGATTTGGCAGCAATTTTCTCGTTTGTTGACCTTCTTTTGGCTGGTGAAGGTTTTCCTTGTTCCATAACAGAACTTTCCACAGATCCTGTGAACTCATCAGAAGTTGAACACCTTTGACCAACAGTTTCTTTCTGAAATGGCTCCAGTTCCACATCAAGAGATCTAAGAGAGGACTTTTGACCTTCAGGGTCATTACTCAGCTGAGGTGCTGCAGTAACCCTGGGGCAAGCATCTGCTGTCCTCGACTTTCTCCTTGGTGGTGGGATTGTAGGTTTTCCAGTTTCTTGTTGGGTTTTCTTGGCATCCTCACCAGGTATTTTACTTGCAGAAGAAGCAGATTCTGAAGCTGCAGAAGCCTGAAGACCCTTTGACTTTCTCCTGACTGGTATAACTCTAGTTTGTTTCACAGCCAAAGCTGTTTGTTCCTCAGAACTTAAAGGTCTCTTGCTGTCAGGTTCTTCTTTGTGTTTTGAGACCCCCTCTGTATGTTCTCTGAAAATAATTTGATGTTTTGATCTTTTGGTTGGAGAGGGTTTACTTTCCTTGATGCCAGTAGCTTCCATTTGTTCCGTTTCACCATCAGGGATAGTCCTGTTCTCCCCAGGTTCTACAGAAGAACCAACTTTAGATGTTGTTTTAGGTCCAGCACTTTTTGATTTTGTTGGACTTTGTGTTCGTTTTATCTTTTCCATTGGAGTACCTTTGTTTGGCTCAGTAAAACTCTCAGGTTCCTCCTCTTTCTGTGAACATGGTTGTTTGGATTCTTTCTTTGTTGGTTCAGCTGTTGGTTCAGGTTCTTTCTTTGTCCATGCAGCTAAATGTTTGGATTCTTTATCTGTTCCTGCAACTTCTTGTTTGGATTCTTCCTCTGTTGGTTCAGCTGCCTGTTCAGGTTCTTCTTCTGTCTGTGCAGCTGGTTGTCTGGGCTCTTCTTCAGACCTTGTAGCTGGGTGTTTGGGTTCTTCCTCTGTCTGTACATCTGTTTGTTTGGGTTCTATCTCTGTACATGCAACTGGTTGTTTAGGTTCTTCCTCAATCTGAGCAGCTGATTGTTCAGGTTCTACCACAGACAGTGCAGCTATTTGTTCTGGTTCTTCCTCGGTCCGTACAGCTGGTTCTTTGGGTTCTCCGTCAGTTTGTGGAGCTTGTTGTTCAGGTTCTACCTCGGTTTGTACAGCTGGTTGTTCAGGTTCTACCTCGGTCTGTGCAGCTGGTTGTTCAGGTTTCACCTCTCTCTGTTCAGCTGTTTTTTCAGGTTCTTCTTCAATCTGTGCAGTTGGGTGTTCAGGTTCTACCTTGGTCTGTGTAGCTCGGAGTTCAGGTTCTACCTTGGTCTGTGTAGCTGGGAGTTCAGGTTCTTCCTTGGTCTGTGCAGCTGGGTGTTCAGGTTCTACCTCGGTCTGTGCAGCTGGGTGTTTAGGTTTTACCTTGGTCTGTGCAGCTGGGTGTTCAGGTTCCTCTTCGGTCCATGTAGCTGGTTTTTCAGGTTCTACCTTGGTCCGTGTAGCTAGGTGTTCAGGTTCTACCTCGGTCTGTGTAGCTGGGTGTTCAGGTTCT